CCCTCCCTCCCTCCCTCCCTCTCGCTCGCTCGCTCGCTCGCTCGCGCGCGCGCTACAGACCGACGCTACTTCCCGAGATTCGACGTCGCGAATGTGCCAGACGTCGTCTTTTACTCTGATTATCACCAAATTTCTCACTCCTGACAAATAAATTCGACGAATAAATGCGTCCGATTCTACTCGAATGAATCAACGATGATAACAGTTATGAGAGAGACGCCGTCTCGACACTCGTCGCACTCGACGTCTCGACAAGCACCACTTATGTGTATCAAGAAAGGAGGAGATTACTTACAAATAATGTCCTCACGATATGCCCCGACGATCGTACATCGCTACTTTCGACACTCCCGACAGTTATTTTCGCGTAGGACTCACTTTCGACAGACAAAAGACGCATAAAAAACGGAGCGATGTAGATCGATGTGCCCATGGCGGTTGTTCGATGCAAGAAGATCGAGGATGCGCGCGCAATTGATGACGTACGTTGTAAACTCGCACCGCGTCGGAAACTTTGCCGCGCTGCTATCACCACGCTATCTGTGTGCTTAGACAGAATCAACTTCATTCGATAGATCGGTAGTTACCAGATCAGTCGCTAGTTACTTTCGACCAGCGATGTTTGTTTCTAAGCAGGCGTTTGTCATCACTGTTTGTTAATGCAAGCGTACTTACGTAAGTGCGTGATCACTTTTGTTCTTTTCGCGCTAAGCAGCCACTATTGACACATCGATCGACATCACTGCGCATCTTTTATCCGTCAAAAGTAAGTCTCGTGCACAGATAAGTAGCGGGAGTGCCGAAAATAGCGCTATGCGAGCGTCAGGACGTATTGTGAGTACATTATTAGGCGTGTAATCTCTTTATTTCTCGGTATAACGACTGCTTGTCGCGACGACGTTTACACTTGTTCACGACAAAAGACGAATTCAGTTCGGACAACTGAATGGTGACTAGATGAAAAACTCGCTGAAATAATATCTCTGTTACTGCGACTGAAAACATTCGTCTGAACGGTTCAGCTACATTAAAACTCGACTGAGATAACTGAGAGCAATTGGCTGAGTAGAAACCTCCTACAGGAATCTCTCTGTTGCTACAACCGAGGTGAGGTGAGTTTTTCATCTGGTCCTCAAGTAACAGAAAACTCAGTTACATTAACGGAGCTGTTCTTTCCGTGTTGTTAACCTTTCCAGTAACAATGAAATCGGACGATTGTCGGATTTGTTAACTGGAAATTAAAAATGCAGTGGTAATCAGAGGAATAAATAAATAACGTGACGTGAGATATATTTTTCAAGTATACGCGAACATAACCGTATTTCATTTTATTAGCGCATAGCTTGGTGAATTAAAATGTAAATTTCTCTTAGTCACGAAAACGTCGAAATGGCAACGCGATGCTCGAGTTTCAAGTGACCTAAAGTAAACAGCCTTTCGGGAATTAAATTTGTAAGTTTGCAAATAAGTAAGAGGACCTCGTTCTTCGCTTAATTTTTGACGTAATTTATTAATTACGGCTTCTCATATTCTACGGAATAGCCGGGGAAGACGGAGAAATGGAAAAACGTTACCACGCGCGGCACGACCTACTCCATTCTCGCTAACGAAAGAATACGTCGAAATCAGTCGGAAAATTCCTCAAAGAAATGTCGTTAAAATTCGACATTGCGAAGACGCGTCTCCCCATCCTGTATATATATCCATCGCCTTCACAATGGAGGGCATAATAAATATTTTCTTTCTATCTTTCCGCTGGCGCGGGCGGCGGCATCTCGCCAAGACGCCGCGGCGCTTCGCGCTTCCGGGTGAGGAAACTCAGCTGGCGGGACGAAAAACGACGACGACTAATGCGTGTGTAAAGCGCGGAAAAGTCTTCCCTCGTAAAGCGAGGCACCCCCGCTGCTTTTACTCGCCGTCCCCGCCGCAGCGTTTCGACGCGAGACATCGCGCACGCGGACAAGAGAAAGAGAGAGACCGAGAGAAAGAGAAAGAACGCGCGATAACATTCGCGGCTGGACCGCGAGAAAGCGCCGCGACGGCGCATCCGCACTTCGCGAGTGCACCACGTTCCCCGTAGCTTTCCGGACGATGTTTCTACGTGGAGCCAGTAGGCAAGAGGGCGGCAGGTCCGTTGACGAGAAGCACAATAGAGACTTTCCCATCTAAGCTATTATCGTGTCACGTGAGCTCTCGCGCGCTTTATCGCGCTAAACGACAGGATTAATAAAGTTACACTGCATTCTGCGGATCCTTCCCGGTTTAACCTGAAACGCTAAGAGCGAAATCTCGTGCGCTTAATGCTTCTTCTCCCAATATCAGATTGTTCCGATTCTAACACTAATTAAGGGAGAATCGCTGAATCAATTTCTTCATTATTATTGGATATAAACGACTTCTCTTATAGCAAAAATAAGAAACAAATGGACAATGGGAAATACAGAGCAAAAAGTTTTCGAATTATTTATTTTATGCGTGCTACAAACATTTAAAAAAATCAGATACGATTTTGGCAATTCTCCCGTAATGGTATATCCCCTTAGAATATTGCTCGACACCTTATCTTAATGGAGATCAGTTGCTGAACATTACTAGAAAAAGTTACATGGTATATATTTGTTAAAATGGCATTTTTTAAATAAATATAATATGGCAAATGAGGATATATCACTGTTGGTTTGGCGTAAAATATCATATATTCAACATATTATACAATAATATATTGATACAATAATATGTTAAATATGTAATATTTTGCGCTAAATCAACGGCGATATATCCTCATTTGCCGTATTATAATTATTTATTGATTGAATATTGAGAATTTATTTTTTCTTGTTAGCATTTTTTAAATTTGCCATGATTATATGACATTATCAACGACTTCTCGTGACAGTTATTGCGCAAAGACAACGGCAGCGCAAATTACCAGCGTCGAGGCTGGATCACTTTTGCTCCTCTGCGCTGAGAGAAAAGTCTAGGATCTAATTAAAATTTAACAAACGTATATATGTTCCGATTCAACTTTTCGATCAACTTGATCGGAGACTTGATCAACTGGCCCCGAAAACGATGGGATATTGCTTGAACGGGATATTCGTTTGTTAATCTTTGATCGGATCGTGGCTTTTTCTCTCAGTGTGCAGTTTTCCATTAGCGCGCGGGATGCGCAATCCTAGTTACACGCTCGCATGCATTTTTAACAGCGAAAGACGCTCATGGGTCGTTCTACTTCTCGTTGTTGCTCGACGTTGTAGCCGCGGTTTACGGCGGCGTTTTACGCGTTTGCACAATCTTCCGCTACCACATGACACCTGTGATGTAACAAGCACAGTAAAATCTTGCTTATACTCCGACTCTTTTTAAAATGGACTTTTATCAGTGGGTCAATCAGCAAGACTGCTGAAGCCTGATGAAGCCTAATGAACTGAGATTTTTGCGAAACGTCGGAATCAGACAAAGAAGAATCCACACGGCTCAAACCCGGAAACCAAATCTAATATTCATGGACATCGCGAAAGCCTCAAATATGAAATTAGCAAAACGTTTGATGATGAAGGTTATACGGACATGCGGCATCATACTCCCGTCAAGTTTTTGTCAAACAGAAAATTGATATACTGAGTAATTTAAACGGCGGTACATTAAAAATACCCACACACGCTGTGATCTCACATATTTTCCGCGCATTTTTATGCTCTGTCGCGCGCGATCTTTTATTCATTCCCCGGCGAAATGTCATCGCGCGCGGAATACACGGCGAGCGATAGTTCCGGCCTTTTCGTTGGTTGGTTGGCTGGTTCGTTCGTGCGCGCTAAGAAGAATACAAGTTCTCGCCGTAGACCGGGCATTTAATCGATGGCTCAATTTCAAATGTTTAATTAAGAGTCCGCATCGCGCTTAATTCGAACGTCTCTATCGCCGCGTCGCGCCGCGGACGATTTCTAGACGCTATCGGTGGCAGCTCCGTTTCCCTTTGCGTGGAAATTCAAATGCGGAGGACGTTCCCTGCAGCCTCTCCGCGGCGGTCCCTTTTCCCGCGCTGCTCGTAGTAGCTTGATTACAGTCGCGAAACTCCATTGTCACTCCGGCGCAAACTCATTTGATTTCTCTCGCTTTTTCGACGATTGCTGTGTTTGCCGGATGGGAGGCGAGAACGGGCGAGAAGGTCGAGCACAGTAGGATGGATGTTTGGAAGAAGCGGCGAATTAACTACCACTCCGCCGCTCTTAGAGTAGCGAAGGATTTCCGATTTTGGGGTCGTGTTAGCGTTCATCTAACTTCTATTCGTTATTCTCTCAAGTATAGTAAATATATTTTTTACTAGAATGCTTACTGAAATGATAAGTGCTGCTTGAGTTGCAAGTTATAACACTGCAATCAGTAAAATTTCGCTGAAATAATTAGTAGCAGCGAATGTATTTCATTATTGATGTAGTTTACACAGATGTGTATCATCGCACGCAAGGCGTACGGAAGGCGTTAATTCTATCACCATAAACGCGAAAACTATATATGATGAAATGTACAACGAATTTCTGCACTAAAAATTTTGCAGTGCAATCTTACTACTGGAAAAATCAGTGGGACACAAGACGAAGCAATAAAAAGGAAACGCTTCCACTGTGAATACTCACTGATTCTCGGTAAATATATACCTTTTGCTGATATGATAAAAAATATTTTTATTACTGATTCGCTTCAGGACAGTAAATGTATCAATTGGGAAAATGTGCGACCTGTATATGCGTTCATATTTGCTGTGTCTGACAGTCACATATATTCTATTAATTTACAGCAATTAGATGCAAAGTAATACTTTATATTTATACCTTTTTAAGTAAAGTACCACGTAGGCAGCCTAAGTTAAAGTCGGTCGAAAGGAAAGTGAAGTGTATTAGTTTCTACTATTAATGCAATTTCGCTAAGTAGATCTTGCATTCTCCCATCCCCTTCTCTCTGTCTCTCTCTTGAAGGGAAAATAATTCCTTTCGCAAACGTCGGAGGAGAGAAAGAGAGAAAGAGAGAGAAAGGGAGAGCTGCGTATTTTATATAATTTTATCTCTGCCTCGTGCAAGGACCGGGGACGTACGATCGATGTGCTTCTGTGACCTACAGGACGAAACATTTTAACGTTTTCCACAGCGATAATGCAAAAGAAATCATCTCGCGCACGTTGCAGCCGCTCTCTTCTCGATAATACGTCACCGTGCTCCATCATATTCGCGATCACCAGTCACATCAGACGCTATGTTGTATTTCACTGCGCCCAGCGCGCCAAATAAAGTAATTCGCACGGCTTTACGATGCGGATGCAAAAAATTCCCGGCTCGCGCAATTAGCGAGTTAAAAAAACTATCCGTGAAAACGCGGGATTCATAAACCGGGCGCGGTGCGCTCGCGCGCGCGCGCGCTCTCCCAACAAAGGATCGCCGGCGTTTAATGTGAGAAAATTACGCCTGTACACTCGCACCGCGTGAATTTATTTACACGCTGGCTGTCGCGAGCGCATTAGCCGCCTGAATCGAGAAGTACGTGTACGGAGTTTAATTACAATTTTGATGAGGGCGGCGTTAAGCCAGGAGAATATCACGAGCAAGTGCTTCGCGTGACGACGCGAGCGCACACGCGGAGCGGGCTGATCCGCC